GTCGAGGTGGTTGGAGCTTGGCGGAGGTGCTCGGGGCGTGGTCAACGTAATCCGTGGTTGGCGTGGTCGGAGCTTCGGCGTGGCTCGCTCAGTGGCTCGCTCCATGGCTGGGCGTGGCTTGCTTGATGGTTCGCTGCGGCTCGCCATAGCGGCTCGAACAGCTTGCTTGATGGCTCGATGCGCAATCGAACGGGCACGCAGAGTCGTAGTTGAGCGGGCATGGTTGCTTGATGCGGTCGGAGAGCTTGTTCGATGCCTCGAGAAAATCATCTCGGCGGTTACGTCGGTATTTGGAGAGCTTGTCACAAGATGCAATGAATTGATGATTGCTCGGCTTGGTTGCGGCCGCATGATGCACACGACGTATCGTATACACGCGCACATGCATGCACCCTTGTAGATCGGTGCTTGCCTATTTGCATGCATGCGAGACCGTATAAGCGCATGCAAGCTGCGTATCTTGGTTACTTCAATTTGATTCGCATGACATCCATGGTCGCAGATCGGCTTTTCGTGGTTTGCTTGTTGTTGATCGGAGAAAACTTCCAGCTGACCAAACATATCCACTTTGGCATACTGAACCACCGGGGCTCCTTTCCACACGTGGTGCTAATGTCGTCATAGTGGCGTCGTTGGCGAATTTGGATTCCTTCCTTGTTTTGAGGACACGGAGGCAACGTGTAGGGCTCCATGCAAGTCGATTGGTCTCGTAGCATCTTTGATGGATCCCGTCTGACGGTAGCGGTGGCGGCAATATATACCCAAAGCCAAGCTCGCCGGATCGGAGTAGACTCCGTTCTCGTGGCGTGTTGTAGCTGGAGCTTGATACGCCAATGTCGGAGCCATGATGACGTTGAGGTCTTGATCTTGAGAGTTGTTGCCTTTGCGGATTTGTACTCCTCCCCATACGTCGGCACGGTGTTGGATCTTGTCGTAATACATGCATGCATCTTTTCGACCTATCCTCGAGCTTTTCGACTGTTGTCATGGTGTGGTCGCGATTGTCGAAATATTTGTTCTTTGCGGCGATCATTATTGCGACGTGGTTTGGTGGTCGGAGCTCGGCTGAGCTGCTCTAGATGTGGTCCGTGGTCGATGTGGTCGTAGCTCGGCGGAGCTCGCGATCGGCGATGGTGTAGGAAGCGATGGAAAAGCCTTTGCCATTCTTTGGAGTACTCGCCGTCGTCGTTGGCTTGTGTGGTGATCTAACTTGGACTTGTACGAAGTATCAGATGCTATGCAACAAACGGTGACATATACATGTATACGCACTCCCTTAATGCATGACCCTGTATACCACGTATATGCTTCCTTGGTTGCATGGTTCTATACATAGTACGGTGGCTCCTTGTTTTCTTGCATGGGCATGACGTTCACCTGCATATACCCGTATACGATGCATGCGTATATCCATAGATGCCTTGGTCTTGCTTGCTTCTGTTTGCTCGTAATAAGAAGAAAGTCTTGATCGATGAAACCTCACCGCCGTGTTGGAGATGGAGACGGCGTTGTAGTCTTGATCGGATCTTTTGAATCGGTCGTAGTCGCAGGAGCGATTACGTGCGCGATATCGCACGTACATGATCACATGCAAGTCAATTTGCATGGCCGATGCTTATTGCCTACGTCGGTGATTGTCCGGGCTCCTCCTTGGCCATAGCGCTGCGATAGCGTCTTTACCGGGACGGGGTTAGGTCTTGCATGCTAGTCGAAGTCGAACTCGATCGGCCTTGGAGTCGGCGGAGGCGGATGTCGGATCGAACTTGATCGAAGCGGTATTGCCCACGAATCGGACTAAGCCTTTGAGTTGGTGATCCGCGGTCGGTAGCGAGGAACCGAATCCCCGCAGATGACGACGATGAAGAAATTCTCGACAGAATCAAAGAACGATCCCGCCGAGAACGTGATGTCGACTTTGAGATTCCATCTGGTTCGCTATAGATCGGCGCGACACGATCCCTAAAGGGGACCCTACAGCGGCGCCGCCTGTCGACGAAAATATGGTGGCGATCCACCGAGGGGGTGCCCGTGGTGGTAGATTATCGGTAGGATCGTGTGATCTCGGAACGAGATGGTGACACAAAGCGCAGAGACACCGATTTAGACAGGTTCGGCCGTCGATCGACGTAATACCCTACGCCCCTGTGTCTTTGGTGTATTGTATTGAAATGTATACTGTACGATCTCTATGGATCTGTCCTCTAGGGGACCCTTGTCTCTCCTTATATACTCCGAAGAGACAAGGTTACAAGTAAAGTATCCAATTTGGTACTATTATAATATCTAGTACAACTTATAATCTTGATGTGCACGCCTTGATCTTACGGGCCGGGCCACCTCGGATGGTACGGCCCATGTACCATCTTGTGGTACCCGGGGGTCTATCCCCCACACCTTGCATGGGAAAGGCTTAGCCTAAATCCCTCTAGTTGGTATGGCAATCACTTGGAGGCAGGTGTGCAACGGGACACTAAAAGATATATGTGGAAATTGAGGAATTGTATCAAATATAATAAGCGCCGTAAATTATTGTATTATGAGATGTGGCCTTAGTGTTCCCGTGGTGAGCGCCAGTACTTAGCTATGGAGGGTAATGGCTTTGATGGATCTGTGCTTGCCCTACGGTGTTAAGTTACGGTACCTTACTTGTGTGTACAACCTTTGCAGAGTGTAAAATTTATCTAGATAGTCGTGTCCACGGTCTTGGACGGGTTATGGTTCGGTTTCAACAACTAGATGGGTTGGGATGAGTGGAAACATGAGAGTAAGTGTGATTTTGGAAATGAATGGTTGTCTACCATGTGTTGCGGGAACAGAGGGTTCAGTAACACCTAAAATTGTGACCAACCTTTTTCAGAATTACTATTATATATGGAAAATATATGTCTTTCGCAAAAGTTTTTATAAAATGAAGCCCTGCATGGGTAAAAAAGATAGCTTTATGCAAATAAAACCAAGCCTTATCTTGTCCATATACATATATTGTTATCCCATTTCGTAGGATAAAGTTGGATCTGCTGAGTACTTTGTACTCACCCTTGCTTTGTTGAACAGAGGAAGATCCGAACTTCAACCCTGACGTGGCGTACGAATAAGGTCGTGTCTGCACCCAACTAAGCATGTGGCATTGTGATTCGCCAGATGTTTGACGATTTCTTTTGTTTCTAGGTCTGTTGGACCTGTATTATGTTCTGGTTACTTCTAATCGTGGCATGCTTTCATTGTCCACGCTTGTCGAGACTACTGCACTGAGACTTATTTGATGTAATAAATGTGTTACTAGCCTCCTGGGACTAGTATTTATTTCACACTTGAGTTCCTGGATAATTAGGGGCGCTTCATAGCCGCGGCTGAGGGGGGCGGGGGAGGGGGCGAGGGTGGGGGAGGCAAGGCGCTGGCAATGGAGAAGAAGCGGTGGGAGGAGACGCTACGGGGAGAAAGGAAGGGTGACTGACGCTTAATCGAAGCCTTAATCACCTGACCTCGAGACAGACCCTTAAGAAAAAAGAAGAAATAAGTGTCATTTAAATAAAAAATCACTCTGATTATTTGAACTTATCAGTTCGGCTTATCAGGCATGGTACAATGATTTTCTCTTATAACAAAACAGCGTCAACGAGCTTATCAACTACAGAAACTATCAGCCGAACACTTATGTTCATCCTTTGATAGTTCTTTTCTATATCTTGTGTCTATTCTAAAGAGATAGTCTTATTCTCTATAAATCTAGAATATAGTATAGCTATATTTAAAGATCAAGTCAAAAAATCTGGAGATTATTTTTTAATAATAAAATAAGTATTCTTAAGTTTGGAAGGATATAGAGAGTCGTGGTCTGATGCAACGGCGCGCGGCGGGACCATCTCGCCGGAGCCAGCTCCTGAGTCGCCTGAGTCGCCTCCTGCCGGCCGGACTCACGAATCCCATGCCGTCCGCCGGCCTGCGGAATCACGCCTCCCACGGGGCACGGGCGCTCTCTCGGTGCGTCCGACGCGCCGTTCTCTCTCGTGCCGGCTCCCCCGTCGCCTGGAACTTGGACTCTTGGAGCAGTGACTGCAGCCGCCGGCATTCGCGCCAGCATTCTTATTCTTATTAGTCACCCCGGCTCAATTCGGATCCGTCCATTCCCAGGTTCGCCTCTCATACCCCCACTGCTTCCAATCCTTCCAGATTGCTGGTAAATTTGGCATCCAACATGTGGTGAATTGTTTGTTTCACTGCCTGCCATACAATGATAAAATCCAACCCAGGGGTAGTTTCGTTGCAACGACGGAATATCTGGACGGATATGCAAGACAGTTAATTCACCTCCTTTGCGATTCTATGACTTTCCAGTTGCCACATTGGAACTAGGATGAGTATCCACAGGATGTGTCTTGTTCGTCTGAAATATTGTTGGATGTCTTACTGCTATTCTCATGGCACTTATTTGTGCTGAAGTAATGAAATCGCAGTGCCTTAACTGTTCTAGGATTATAATTTATGATTTCTATATCAAGGAAAATTGTAAAATTCAACTAATACAACATTGTAGTGAATTACACTGCGGTAGATGAGCATAGTGATTGCTGAGCATTGCTCTATATTGACCCAGCTTGTGCTTTCAAAAATTACAATGCAGTTCTGTATGAATGCTATAGCTAATTTGCAGGGTTATGAGCTAATGTATTCTCCATCCACTAGTTGTTTTAAAAATACCGGTACTGGGGCCACGCTGACATCTTGAATGCCCTGCAAGATTTGAACTATTTGCCGCATGGTTGGCCTGTGAGACTCATTGTCCTGAATGCACCAGCATGCAACCTTGCATGCTCTCTCTAGCTCTTGAAAATTCACGTCATTTAGTCTCTGGTCCAGAATTTCAGAAATGTCACCTTCACTTATCCTTATTGTGGCCCACACTGGAAAGTACCTTATGGTTCCGTTCTCCATCAATTCTGAATTCCTTCTGCCCGAAATTATCTCAAATAACATCATTCCGTAGCTGTATACATCTGCTTTTGGTGTTATGGGAAGACCTCCAATCCATTCTGGTGCAAGATACCCTGCTGTTCCTCTCATAGTTGTCAAGGCCCTGCTAAAATGTCTATCCATAAGCTTCGCCAAACCAAAGTCAGCCAGTTTTGGACTGAAGTTTACATCAAGAAGTACATTTTCAGGCTTTATATCACAATGTATGATGCACTCCTGGCATTCATCATGGAGATAATGTAATCCCTTTGCAACACCTAGAATAATTAGGAATCTGGTATTCCAATCCAATATCTTCTCATCCTTGAAGAGATGAGCATCTAGAGATCCATTCACCATAAAGTCATAAACCAACATCCTTTCGGCTCCTCTCAAGCAGAACCCACTGAGGTGGACTAGATTATTATGGTGAATTTTCCCTAAAGCCCTCACCTCGGTGTGAAATTGCTTCTCTCCTTGTTTCATGCCTTGAAGCTTCTTGACAGCTATTAGTTTGGAGTCTGGGAGCAATCCTTTGAACACTGAACCAAAGCTACCTTGCCCCACTTTATCTGAAAAATTCTTTGTGCAGTGCTGCAAAAATGAATAATCATAGACGACGAGAGAGTAATTATCTGAGAAAGCCTTTTTAGATGAAGTCCTTTGAAACATCTTAACTGTTATGCTAAGAGCACATAGTGCCATAAAAATACTACCCAGCACTGCAATTAACACAATAAGCCTAACATGGTGTGCCTTCTTTTCACTATCTTGAACTAGAGTATCAGATGCTGCAAGACGTATATACATATCTAAACCATCAGTATTACCATTAGGTAATTGTTTAAGATCCCAGAGTTCACTATTCCAGATATTGCAATCCTGTTTATGTGCATATGCAGTGCAAGAGCAATTACTCAGGCATATAGATCTGCACTCCTCCATGCTTTGGACTTTCAGTTTTACTGGGTTTTGTGAAAACTTGATGTTGGTGATCTTGAGAAATGCATCGCTCTCTTTTGTGTCAGTTGATTTATTTGACTCAGCACATTGGATATCTGTTTGCCTAACACATCCTTGACTCCATGCTCGAAGATCCCAACTTCTTGCGGAAGCTGGTCTAAAACCTGGCAAGCAGAAGCATTGCTCATCAGAACCTGTCCTGCAGACACCAAAAGGCCCGCATACAGAATATACGTCACATAGAGCTGCAGGAAAATACCATTCTATTATCCATTCCTCTGAATCACTGGACCATGTGAGACGTTGGAGTTGACCATTAATGCTTATAATTATTCTTGTGATTATTGACACATCCTTCGTGGCCCACCGAAACTTCAGCTCGCGACTGTTGTTAATAAAATCATATATGTAGTCACTCTTTAGTGGCATTCAGGGATGGACGTGAATGCTTTGCCTGTCCAGTTCCCAGATTGCCAGTAAACTTCTGAGTGATTCCATATTGAGACATATTGGCTCATTGTAACTAGATCTGCGTGAAAGGAGAAAGGACCTGGTGCAGGATCTTCTTGGTTCTTTCAAGAAACACGGTTCTGGTATTCACGTGTGATCTTGTCTATGCCAAACCACTGCCCACTCACTACCGTGTCTGTTGGATGATCAAAGCTTTGCCAGAAAATATCAGAAGAGTTGTATTGATCTCTGAGGATAAGATTTCCACTATCAAGGAGAACTGCAGTGCTAGATCTACTGGACTTCCTTGTGCTATTCGATGACCATATGGGTGCTCCTAGAGAGTTGAGGACTAAATTTCCATCCATAGTTATTGTAAGTTCTGGAAATGAAGCATTTGAGACAGGTATATCCCGATTGGCCACCCAAATAATAGTCCTCTTTGAAATAGTTCTGAACCAGATACCAACATAAAAGTTTCCATTATTACCTGGAGAGAACAATCCAAGCTCAAAATTCCTTCTTTTGACACAATAGTTAGATCGCCTGAAAGAGGTTGGGTCCTGGAGATAGTATCAGTCACGCCAAATGTAATTGCGCAAAGATGCAGAAGAAATATGAGAGAAGTAAAGGAAAGATGTGTCCTTTTGGGGAAATCCATCACTTTGCACGAAAGTGTTGGATGTCTGGTGTTCAAGAATTTTATGCACTACTTAGGGTGTTATCTTGGTCAAGCAAAGTGTGTTTTGATTTCTTTGCTCTGCTGTCAGCTTTCTTGTTTGACTTGAGTTCACTTCTGAAATGGATGTCTTGATTTTCTTTATGAATTAATGGATGTAGTTGTTCCACGTGACACAAGCACAACCATTCGATGATGTTTGTTAAGACATGAAACTTACACGCAGTTTAGTTAGAGCAACTCCAACAATAGCCCCACTCAGGGTCCCTACCTTTTCGTTTTTCTCTTTTTCTCACTTACTCTATGTATTCTACCTATTTGACCTAACATGAATTCAAACAATAATGTTGCGAATTTATAAAAATTGAATGATCTCATGGTTCTACATACACTGATTTTTTCGCGAATGTGTCTATGACACATATTTCATTAAGACGAAGCAGAATAAGTTTACATGAAGTTATGGTAATCAACAATTACCGAAACCTTCCTCACCCAACAGTTTAACACGATATTACATACATCCAATTCGCGACCAAAGCCAAACACCCTGACTCAACTGAATGGCGTCCCAAACACTGCAACTCATAAAGCCTCAATTAGCGACTGAATTTGCTTATAACCTGCACGCACCCAAATGTTCGCTTCCTCTATAATTTTGTACAGCAGCTACCGAGAAGTGGAACTCTGACTTCCAAACTTTCTGTTGTTTTGTTCCTTCCATAGCATCCATCCAACCAGCAGGAGCTCTACATACACTGATGAACAATATTCTAAAATATTAGCATAATATTTTAAAATAACATTACGAGATCAACGATAATATTCTACCTATTTTCTGGATCCGCTCACCAGACCTAGGTTCCGCCTGCAGACCTCAATCCACCGAGAGAATTGGAGGAGGTGCAGGGGAGGTGGGGGGCTCGAGTTTGGCCAGCAGGGACGATGAAGCTGGTGGCCGGTAAGGGCTTGTTTGGATACACGTATTTACCTTAATCTATTTGTGATGAGATCTCAGTAAAGACTTGTTTAGATACATATATTTACCTTTTTACTCTAACACACGTAGATTGAGGTGGATATAAATGCATCTAAAAATGCCTAATGAGGGGGTGCAGGGGAAAATAGGGGTCTTCCTCCTACTTTTGAGTGCTCGAGTAGAGAGCCTGCTAAAATGTGGCTAGACATAATGTATATTTAAACATGTAGCAAAATCTACGTAAACTTATAATTTGGAACTAAGGGGGTAGAAAACAACAAAATGTTGCAAAAGATATGATTGTAACAACAAAAGGCTGCAAAAAGATGTGAAACAATCATAGAAGCGTACTGGCCTCATTGCTTGCGGTCTTCAAATGTGAAACCACGTACTCCCACAAAGAGGGTCATTCTCGCTCTCCGATAAGTCAAACACTTTCAACTTTAACCGAATATATATAAAAATATTAATATTTATAATGCATAATTAGTATCATTAGATTAGTCACTAAATATATTTTCGTAATAAATTTATTGGGAGATACAAATGTTGATAATATTTTCTAAAACTTAGTCAAACTTAAAAATAGTTTAACTGACACGAACCTCGTAATGACACTTTTTTTCATGACGGAGGGAGTATTACTTACCTTGCCTACTCAATTATGTCAGCAGCAGCAGGAACATAATTACGAAACCAGATAGTGCTTCCTCACAACAAAAATAAAAAAAAGAAAAGTAGACAGTGTCTACTTAATTAAGTATAAGTATGCCACGATCATGGTAATATATAGTCCGCTGCAGAACTGTTATAGTTTTGAAAAAAATTCGTAGACTCTACCACTATAATAATGCTAATTGCTCCTCTGTTGTTGTCAACAATGCTTTAGCTCCAGGAAACACCGTTATTTGGTCGAGCCGCAAAATATTTATTTTTTACTCTATATGACTATAATCTATACCTCTATGTTATGTTCTTTACTTAATAAAATGATGTGATAATGAACCATTCAATAATTATTGATTTCTTAATTGTTTGAATGTAGATGGAATATATGAATATTGATTGTAGTCATGAGTATGATGATTGTTTTTAATAACCATTAAGTAATGGACATAGAGACATGTCCTCTAGGTAGCCTACATGTAGTCGTGTATTTGTCTTCATAAAAATTTGTAGTACATATTTTTGTGCAAAATTAATTGATAATTTTATAGTTTATATAAAACCACTAAATGAAATAGCTTCTGCTATGTCTCACTGTAGATTTTTATAGATCCTAGAGAAACACACCGTTAAATGTTTTAGCCTAATATTTAACACCTTAACCATGGCATAGTTGTAAATGTTTTATTATCATAATGATCACGTAACATAACAGAACTATGTTTGGCATAGGGGCGGAAGACTCGGTAAAAAAAAAAGGTATGGCGCTCGCCATACCTTAACCTCGTTGCAGATCCGCACCCTGAATCGCCAGCCAGTCGACGCTAGCAGCCATACATGATAGATGCGAGGTCGCTAAACTGAATGATGAACGCAGCAGGGCGGAAGACGATGGCTAAAATGAACCGTTACTTTCACATTGGGCCTTGTGGGCTGTGGCTTTGCCGCTTTGGGCTGGCAGCCTAATACCGGACATATGAGCTCTGGCTGTTTCTCTAGGTGGTTTTTTTTTCTTTTCTTTTATATTTTATTTTGGTTGAATTTTTGAAAAATCATAGTAAATTATAGAAAAAATATAAAATATAAAATCTAATTTGTTGGACTCCACATGAGTAGATCCACACAGTAAACATATGATATGGTATGCTTTAGTAAAAAAATTTACTCTAGCTTTAGATCTATGCTTTTCTGTGATTAATGCATAGCTACAGTTTTGTTGTCTTATTGTGGTGAAATTTTTATGGTGGACTAAACATTGTATGCTTGAGATGAAGTAAAAATTTCATGCTCATTGGATCATGTATGACTGAGTTATAGATTTATTCAATTTTATGCTTATTAAATAGTTAAAAGTGTGTAAAAATAGAAAATATGCGTCCTCTATGTAATATTACTATTGTTATATCATATGAACACTTAACATAATCATGTTGTCACATAGAAAATTACACAGAGAACATACATTTTCTATTTTTACACGCTTTTAATTATTTTAAACTATTTAATAAGCATAAACCTGAATAAGTCTATAACTTAGTCATACATGATCTAATGAGCATGAAATTTTTACTACAGTTCAAGCATACAATGATTAGTCCACCACAAAAATTTCACCATAATAGGAGTACAGAAATTGCAACTATGAATTAATCACAGAAAAGCATATATGTAAAGATAGAGGAAAAATTTTGTACTAAAGCATACCATATCATATGTTTACTGTGTAGATCTACACATTTAGAGTTGAACAAAATTGGATTTTCCATTTTATAATTTTTCTATAATTTATTATGATTTTTCAAAGATTCAGCCAAAATAAATATAAAATATAAAATAGAAAAACCACCTTGAGAAATAGCCAGAGAGGTCATATGTCCGGTTTGAAAAGATGGGGGAGGAGTTATATCGGGTTTTCTAGTTCGGTAAGGAAAAGCTGACATTTGCGATAGATGAGAGAGGCAAAGTAGACTTTTTCCTTGGTTAAGGCTAATAGATTCCTTGCTCGTTGGCAAGTGGCAGTCCAGAATCATGTTCCTTTGCAAAGAAAGTATAACTCGACTAGTCCGATTTCTTATGATGGAATCTATTTACTCAGGTTTAAATTTTGACTCAACATAACAACACGGGTATTCATATTTTCCTGATTTATTTCAACAACGCTTTTATTTCAATGGTAGGCCACGTATCCATTGTTAGTGAGACATCTATGGTAACATTCTTAATAAATGAGAGATACTTCAACAACGCTTTTATTTCAATGGTAGGCCACGTATCCATTGTTAGTGAGACATCTATGGTAACATTCTTAATAAATGAGAGATACTTGTACAAATAAAGTATTTTGTGCGTGTTCGTAAAAGTGAGTATGTACAGATATTATAGGTGTCTTGCATGTAATACTGTGGATGGAAAAAAATGCCTTTCACGGTTGCCCGTGAATTGGAAAGGAAACCATATAGTCCAGTGGACCGTGTGTACATGATGAGCCTGTTTCGGTAGGCTGATTTCTATACCATTTCAGGAGCTGTTTTTGGCTCGTCCTAAGGCTTTACTTAGATCCTCGTGTTCAACTCAATCCACATGTATCGAGACCAACAAGGCCTAAGATGTATTGAAGTAGAACTTAAAAGAATCTACGCTTTAATCCACCTCAATACATATGAATTAAGATAAATATTAGAGTAACTAAATACGTAAGGCATACGTAAGGCATAAAGGGCCTGTTTGATATGGAGAGCAGGGGTGGCTCGTCCCGTCGGCCAGCCCCAGGCCAGCCACGACCAGGCCCAAAGAACACAGGTGCCCATTTGATTCACTGGACCAAATGAGCCGGGCTGTGTAGAGATTTTGTTTGTTTTGCCTGTACCAGTGGATACGGCTACCTAGCATCCAGAAGATGTAGCGTTACCACCCATCCTACCCTTGCTCTTTACTCAGTCATTTCGTCGAACACATGCTAGGCCACCCATCCTGCTCGCTGCTCGCCCGCGGCCACCGTGTCCCGCTCGACGGTCGCCTGCGCCGCCGCGGTGCCCTGCTCGCTGCTCGCCCACGCGGCCACCGCGTCCCGCGCAGCCAGCCACGCCGCTTTCACACACAGCCGCGGCACCCTGCTCCCCACGCGCAGCTCGCAGTCGCACAGGCACAGGCACAGCGCGACGAGCACCTCCATGAAGGCGGCGGCGGACTCGGCGCTGGCGCTGACGGCGCGCGGCCAGACGCGATGGCGAGCGTGCGGGAGGCAGCTCCCCCAGAACGACGGGCTCACCATCACGACCCCCGGCGTTGCGCTCGCGCTCGCCGCCGTGTCGTACCTCTGGGCCACGCTCGGCGTCGCGTCGGGGTTCTTCGACATGTTCGTCCTCGCCTTCGCCGAGCGTGACGTGGATGTGGCCACCATGTGCTGATTCCTCGAGCAGGATATGCCGGAAGCGGGGGCGAAGGAGGCACCACACGCGCGCGGCGGCGCGGCGGTGGCGGCATCGCCCAACGGAGAGGAAAGGGAGCGGTGGGGAGCGGTGGGTGAAACAGATGGACTCGGGAGGTGACTCGAAGCCGCACGCGAGCGCTCACGCCGGCCTGGCCGCCGAGAAACGGACCTTTTCTTAGTTGCTTGGGAGCCATGAGAGAGAGGGTCTTTTGCTGCTGGCGAGCCGGGCTCGGTGATGGGCCAAATGAATCAAACAAGTGATTGCAGCCCAGGAACGCAGGGACACCCCAGGGCTCCATATCAAACAGGCCCAAAGTGTTTGACACGGCTTCGGTTCTCGGAGGCAGAGCCGTGCCAACAGGCCTGAATACGACTGATGCTGAAAGTGTTGTCGCGAGTCTATGGTCCCCGGCCCAACCCGTTGGTCTATTCTCCTCCCGTGTTAGATCTTCCCCCAGTCCCACAACTCCACCTACCTGCCCTTCCTCCTCCCGTGCCCCTGGTCGTCTCCGGCGTATCCTGCCGCCGCTCCCGGATTTGCCGGCAGCCACCCGCCTCCTGTCCTCGTCGTGTGTCTGTCACGGTTCGCGATCGACTCCTCCCCCTCCTCAAGCCCTCCGCTGAAGTCGTTCCTCCCGCTTAGCTCGTCGCCGGCATCACCGGCCTCCTCTCAGCCCGTCGCTGGTATCTCCTTTGTCGCCCGCGCGTTCTAATCTTCCCATTTGTGCTCGTTCCCATTTTGCAATCTGTGTGGTGCTTGGAACGTTTGGATTGTGTCTGAATTGTTTTTAGGCTATTTCGATTGAAATGGTAAAACCCTCCTGTTAAGAAAGGAACAACAGTAGTACCAAGGCTCGAATATATTTGATGCACCTTGTTGAGTTACGTACATGGGACAAATCTTGTCATTTTTCCCCTTCCTACCGAATTTTGATTGTGTGTCAATAGTCCTGATATTTTCATGTTGCTGTGGCAGTGAGAAGTGAGAACTCATTTAGCTATCTCTTCTAGCTGGAATACTCCAACTACGTGTTGGCAATGTATATCGTGTTTTCTGTTTCCGCAATTAAATTGTATTTACATAACATGATTCTCAATCACATAGCTACCATCCATTTGAGGGGGTTCCAGTTATGTATAAATTAGAGTTGATTGTATTTGATGTTCATGGCGATTGATGAATATACTGTTTCCTCATGAAAAAATAATTTTGGTATATTTTATTCTGATGTAGGATTTTTGTACTGCAAAAATTATATGGGTTCCTGTATCCTAAATTCCTGATATATCCATATTCTGTTGTGCACGAATTTCATCTCCTTGTCCAGTTGTCCTAATCGTTTATCCAATTTGTTGTGTTAGCAGTACTAGCTAGCATATTCTGCTCTAGTTTGTTTAAGCCCTGTACTTAAATGGCCTCTTCAGAAATATATATACCTGTTTTTATGGTATTTCAATTAGAATGGCAAGCAAGAAGGTCACCTTTATTGAGGAAAGAAACAATAATAATGCTGAGGTTCTCATTGCTGTTTGATGAACAACCTGCAAGATATATTTGATCCGTAGTCTTAGAATCATCCTTTTAATGTTTTCTTCCTAGAGTTCTGATCTTGTATGCCATTTTACTGATGTTGGTGTTGCCAGAAATAATAAAAATTCATTTACCAGTCCCATTTATACAAGTTATGTTCTAAATGGAGCTCTCCAATTACATATTGGCAGCACTTATTTCATTTTCTCAATCGAATTTATTTGCAAACCGATATCAAAATGAATTTAAACTGTTAGAGATAAGGGTGCGGCAGCCCCTGGACTGTTGCCTGGTGCCGTCCCTCTGGGCCTATACGCCCCTGTTGGGCCCATACACCCTATATGGCTAGGATAGAAAGATTGATCTCTAATAGGCAAGGATCACCATTGATTGGTTCTATTTCTATAAACCCTAGGTCATCCTTGGTCCTTGCCTATATATGTGTACCATATCCTCCATAATCAATCTATTGTCTTTGTGCCTATTCCAGTTTACATAAACCAATATTGTTATCAGTGATTCATTTTTTTTATATAAATTAGAGTTCATTGTTTCCTGAGTTTGTGGTTTTCATGGGCTGTGTTATGGACTCTTGATCACCTTGTCCTGATGGTTTGTCCATATGATATGATATGATGTTCAAGTTGTTGTGCCACCATATTCTTCCTGAGCCCGTTTATGCCCTGTACTTCAATGGTCTCTTCAGAAATTTATACCCCTCACCCCCCCCCCCCCTATAGTTATGGCATTTCTGAAATATTGAAGGTGACAACGATGGTTTTCTTTTTATTCGTGTAGGGGTACACTAGGAGCTAGTGTAAACAGGTCGTTCGAAAAGGACAGAAAAGTGTGAGCTAGTTTAAATGGCTTCCAAGCTCCAGGCCCTTTGGAACCATCCTGCTGGCCCCAAAACCAGTTAATTATCTTCTCATCTTTTGCTTTTCTTTTGTATCCATGATCAATTGCATTTCTATTTCCTTAATCCTATTTCGTCGTTTCTGATTGTGACCGTCTGCTTTGCTCTCATTACACACTTACAGACTATATAATGATTGTTCTAGACTTCAAGCTAGCTTATACATATTTCTTGGCATTCCTTAGATGCATTATTAGTTACTGAATCTTGAATTTATCCTTATACTAGTCAGGACTAAAGAAAGTGAGCATGTGATGTAAACCATGGAACAATTTATGCAGACTATATAATTTGCAGTTCCTTACTAGGAATGGGATGCATATATCAGATGCTGCATTTGACTAGCTATGCTTTTGCATCACCTGTGACTTCAATCAAACCTTCCCTACTGCAGTTCATTTCTGGGCTCCTACATTTAAATGGGGTATCAGCATCGCCAATGTCGCAGACTTTGCAAAACCACCTGAAAAGATATCCTATCCTCAGCAAGTTGGTATGTATAAGCTTTCCTATTAATTCATCTTTTTTCTTGACTTCCGGATAATCGAATTACAAGGCCACTACTTTGATTTGTTTCCTCATGCAATGTTAGTATGCTTATTTTGCTGTATTGCTTGCAGCTGTGGCTTGCACTGGGATCATTTGGTCACGCTACAGCATGGTTATCACACCAGTAAGCCCTCTTGTGTAAATGCACAATCCTTTGTGACTGTTCTTATATCTTCTTTGAAAAATTCAGCTTTTAAACCAACACCTTTCTTACTGCAGTGACATCGATTTAGTTATATAATTCATTAATTCTTCTAATAATGTAATCATATAGTACTTTTCTAATCATCAGTGAACTTTCTGTTGATGCAAAGTTGCTAATTGTATCTACTTTCTCCAGATGTCCTGTTGCCCCCTAATTATGCAGTCTTCATGTCAGAAAAGTACAAATGGCTTACAGTTAACAGAAAGTTGAAAATAGCTGCATTGTACTAATTTTTTGTCTGCCTCATTTAATAATCAGTTAGCCATCCTTGATTTTATGAGCAGTCATACTTCTGTAAGGTTAACTGGGTCTTAGTCTTAGATTATAAGAAATTGTCGTGTTAGTTTCTTTTTTCTTGCTCATCTTGCTTCATAATGTTATGAAATTGCAGAAAAACTGGAACCTGTTCAGTGTTAATGTTGTAATGGCCGGTACAGGCTTGTATTAGCTTTCACGCAAAGTAAGGTTTGCTATGAAACCAAGCCGTGTCTCCTCTTTTACTGTTTGAACTCATGACGAGTAAGATAAGCAATGATTCATGTTAGCTGCCTTTGCAGGCAGGACTATTTTTCTGACGAGAAGGAAGCCACCACGTCGCTTGAAGGATGATGACGGATGCGCTGCATTGCGCGAAGGATGATGACGACAGACAAGAATAATCGATTGAGGAGAGGACCGTACATACGGCTTGGAGTCTGTCCCGATTTGTTGCGGATTTTAGACAGGTGCCATTTTATCCAAGATAGGAACCCATTCCTTATTTCCCTGTTCCCTTTGCATTCATGAACAGACTGGTGCAAAATTTCAACCAAGGAAGTAGGAAGGAACAATAGTAATCTTTCGTACACATCATGCAGATACAAGAAATAATGAGCTCTCTCTATTTTGTTTACATGCTGTTCAGCCAATCCACATTTTGGAACACTTGGTTATTTCTGTTAAGCCAACTCTTGCAACACAGCGTGATGCATCTCTGTCCATTTTCCATCTGGAGCTAGTCCCAATGTTTTTGAGGACAAGGCGTGATCGAGGGCCTGGGCGTCGGGGTCGCCACGACCTCAGCGTGTATGGCGTCCGCCTCATAGGATTAGGCGTCGCCTAGGCGCGAATGGCATCGGGCGGACGCCTACCACCGCGCCGCGAACGCCGGATGCCGGTCATAGGGGAAGGGCGCCAAAGGAGCGCGGCCCCGCGGGGAATCGACCGCACGCCCACGGGAAAAGGAAGAGGCGCGGGAATCGACCGCACGCCCGCGGGAAAAGGAAGAGGCGCGAGTGCGGGCGAGGGGAGAGGAAGAAAGAAGGCGGCCGACGGACCTCGACCTCCGCTGGGCTGCTACTTTGCTCGTGTCCACCGGCTGGCCGCCCCTGCCGCGGAGCCGACCTGCATCTTCCTCCGTCGGCCCGCTTGTTGACTGCGCCTCCGTCGGGTCCCCTTCTACCTGGTATGCCCCCCGCCTCCACTCTGCTATTCCGCCTGGTATGCACCCCCCGCCCCACCTCCACTCTGCTTTTCCAAATCTCGTACGACGGGTATTTGGTGAGCGCGAAGTCGGCGGCCTCGTCCCACGGCGCCTCGCTGAAGTCCAGCTGCTGCATCTCCGGCACCGTCGACGATTCGGGGGAGGCGGACCGCGACGGGGACGGGCACGAGGACTCAGCTGCGGACTCGAGGCAGGACGAGGACGCGTCGTCGGAGGACGGCGAAGAGGAGCAGTTGCTGGTGGGGGTGGACGACGACGTGGCAGCTGCTGCAGCGGCGGAGGCGGGCTTCTTGGCGCCCTTCTTCTTGGACGCGGCGATGTTCTGGCAGAGCGTCTGGAGCTTGGCGTCGACGGATATGCTATGCTATGCTCTGCTCTGCTTCTTGGCGTCGACGGATATGCTATGCTATGCTCTGCTCTTGGCGCCCCAGTGCCGCTGCCGCACGCCACCCACTCTTCTGTCTGCTCTGCTTGTACTGCTGCTCTAAAGTCTGAATATTGTATACTCTCTGCTTTGCCTCCTCGTGCTCTGCTCTGAATCTGGTTATGCTATGCTCTGCTCTGTCTGCTCTGAATATGGGCTCAAGAATTGGCAACAAACAAGGTATGTATGTGCTGCACTAGTATATAAAATTCTAGCTTACAACGCCTTACAATGTGTGTATGGCGTCGCCTAGGCATCCGCCACAAACGCCTAGCCGTTGTGAAGGGGTCGGGCGCGGCGCGGCGCCTCAAAAACATTGGCTAGTCCTTTTTGTCATGAACATGCATAAGCTAGATTTTTTGCTTTATTAAATAAAAAAGAGAGTGCATTTACATATGGAAAGTAAGTCCCTGATGGCCTGATCAATGCAGGTGAGCATTTCTTTCTTTCTTTTTTCGCTTGTGGATAATGTTGAACATTAGCTTTAGACCTACGAGTGTCATTTGCCATCCACGAGTAGCTTGTGCCGGTTTTTTCTTTTTTCTTTTCTTTGCACTTGCTAGTGAGTGCGGCCTTGGTGCCATTCAATCGTCACGTACTCATATCGGCGGTGGACTGGTGGTGCTTGCGGGCTCATCGGCTACGGAGTAATGGTGACCTGAGGGGACACGAGGGTTGATGGTTTCAGACAACGATGATGCATACAGCCCGAAACTTGGTTCTATGGCGGTGTCATGCTTGTATGAAACTGATGAAACGCGATGCTCCTCGGTCTGGTCTGTATCCAAGTTTGTTCCATTGCTGTTTATACTACTGTGGCTGTTTGGCTCCAAGCTCCTGCAGCGATAGGAGGCAGGCGGTGTAGTAGTACATGTCAATTTTCAGGCAGGAGGCAGGTGGTGGAGTAGTACACGTCAATTTTCAGTTCAGGCAGGCGCGTACAGAGTTTTGTGTTTCAACTTTTTTTTTTGAAACAGTGTTTCAACTTTCAAGTTGGCTCGTCTGATGATGCCGGCCTGCCTTTCCCGGCGACACGAGGAAAACGCATGCCCGCCGCCGCTTGGCCTCCCTTTTCTTCGACTCTCCCCGGCTCCACACGAACGCGCGCGGGGCAACCTGTCGTGTCTGAGCCAGTAAGCTTGACTGAAAGCGGGGAAATTTAAAATTTTGCCTATCTTTCCCAATGGCACTTGGAGATGCCAGCTTTGTTTTGTCAATTATAAATTTGCCACAGTAGACGGTGCTATATATTTGCCACTTTGAACGATGTGGTAAGCCAACTCACCCTTCTAGCGTGTACAGGCTGTGGAAAATGACCCTTGTGCCCCTTTCCTGATCTGTTTCAGCTCATCGCCTCTCTCAAACTGTATCGCTCCCATGTGGACCCCGCTCGTCATCATCTACCTCCCGCCGACTCTTATACAGATCGGCCTCATTGGGCTTACCTGTATTCGGCTTGTTTTTTCGGCCGGACCGGAACAGTGTTTTTCTTTTACAATAATTCAGGCAGAACGGTGTTTTCTAGCCAAAATTCAGCGAGCCGGGCCAGAGAAGAGAAGAGCAGAGCACGTCGCAGGCTCGCAGCCAGCCGGCGCTTCGCGTAGGAGCGCACGGCTGCGCAATGTGTTGCACGCATGCGCACAGGGAGTGAGCGCAACTGCGCAAGCAGCATCCGCGTGGCCAGGTCGAGCTCGGACTCGAAGGTCGCCGGAGCAGCCGACACCGATGCGGCAAACGACAGCGCTCGACCAGATTTGGGCGAAGGTCCAACATTGAACTCCAGGGAGGGTCGCGCTAGTGCGTGGGTGCTCACCACGTGCTTGGTTGTGGACTTGTGGCAGAGGAATGGACACCAAAGCTCGTAGGAACAGCCACCATAGTCCGTTCGGAGCTCGAGATGGGCCACGGGGAGGCACACGAGATGCCATGGACGCGGCATGCGCACAGCTCGAGCTTGCTGTGGCAACACGTAGGCTCAGTCGCCCGTTTTGTGCCGGTCGGCTTGGGCACGACGTGCGCCATGGACGCGAGCGGGGGCAGCTACCATGGCTGCCGCTGCTTGGGCCACGAGCTTCGCGCGCCGCCTGGGCTACGGGCTCCGCGCGCCGCGGGGCCGCAAGCTCCGCGCCGGCCGCGAGCTCCGAGAGCCGCCGGGCCGCCGGCCACGTGCTGAGGCCGCGATGGGTCGCTTGAAGCATGGGCACCGTACGCAGGCTACAGGGTAGCATCCTCGTCGTCTCGTCCACGCACGCCGTTCCATGACCGCGAGCTCCGCACGCCGCGTCGGCCGCGAGCTCCACGCGCCGTGCCTTGGCCGCGAGCTCTGGCCCATCCTTCCGTAGGCCATGCGCGCCCTGCCGCCGCCGCCCCCGCCGCGCTAGGCCAGCCCCGTGAGCCACGGCCGCGCACGCGCCCGCCCCGCAGCCCGCGCTAGGCCTGCATCTCCCAACGCCATGGACGGAGATGGGAGCGGGAGGTAGATGATGACAAGTGGGGTCCGTATGGAGGTGAGACAGCGAGAAGGAGAAGATGGCCTGAAAGAGATCAAGGCAGGGGCTCAACGGTCATTTCCCATCACATATACACGCTGGTGGGTTGAGTTGGTTTGCTACGTCGTCAAAAATGACAAATATATAGAACTGTCTATTGCTCATGTAGCAAATTTATAATTGTGAAAACAAAGCTGGCAACTGGATGGCAAATTTTTAAATTTCTGAAAGGGTGTTTGTCCGTTGGTCACTCCTCACGCGACCTGCTACGTACACGTACACCGCGTGTGCACGGGAGAACGGAGGACCGCATGGTTAGCTACCGCGTTCATGGCCGTCCGATCCCGTGCGGAATACCAACGAGCAATTGAGCTGGTTGCCTTCTTTCCTCAGTTTTCCTAACTACTACTAATCCGGGGTGTGTGTGTTTCTGTTTTTCTTTTCGGAAAGGGAAGAACCCGGTGTGTGTGGCCGTGTGGGTCATTGTGTGGAGCAAAGTACGTAGTACGAGCTTGCTGCGATAGTGACAGCCACGCCCATGAGGGAATAAACAAAGCCTTTTGTGCTCGAGAATGCATATCTATGACTTAAATCCTTTTAAATTTAATCAAATATATATAATAATAATAATTTTTATTATATGTAACAAATATTATTAAATTATTCGTGAAATATATTTTTTAATAAATTTACTTAGATAAGCTATTTTCTGTAAATCTAATTAAAATTAAAAGTTTGACCACATAATATACAAGATGTGTATTCCTTTTAGAATGGAGCGAGTATAATTTAGGGCCATTTAGTACATCTCTGTTGCACTAGTGGAGTAGTTTTTTCCTGGATTCCTTTTCCTGAGTAGCTTCACCAGTTAAGTTCAAAGCTATTTTGGTGGAACGTTAGGTAAAATAGCTCCCCTAGTAGATAAATAAAATAAAATATTCATAACACCCTTATCTTTATCTTTTTTTTCATTTTCCGCCCTCATCTTTTTTCTTCTCTCTTATTTATTCGCTAGCGATGCCTCTCCGTGCGGGTGCGACTTATGCTCGTGACGCCTCTCTATATGGCTTCCTCCGACCACCCTAGTGTGCCTCGGCAGCCTTGCACGTCCGCGCCCTTTGGCCTCGCCTCGGCTCCCCGGCAGCCCTGTGCATCCATGCCCTGGCGCCCCGGCTCCTCGGCAACTCCGCGCTCGCTCCCATGGCTCGGCTCCGGGCCCCAACTGTTCGACAGTCTCATGCCCTAAAGAGTCCACGTTGAGTGATGGCGTCGCTCTGACCCGACAGCACGCTAGCCTTCGCCTGTCCCTAATTGCTGATGACGCCAAGGTAATTTCGCCATAGGCCCATCGATGTGAGGATGAAGCGGGAGGAAGCCACAATTTTTAGCTCCTCATCCCTGCGTCTCCTCTCAGCGTGATTCACTGTGGGATTCACACGTGGAGCTAGAGCCTCCCGACCTGTTTGGTTGGAGAAGAGGTGAAGGTATCCATGAAATTGCTAAGAGCATTACCAAATGCACCCTTAAAACTTAAAAGCTACTGCAGGGAGAGTGATGTCTTAATTTCTGAGGTCGAATCTAGAATAAACAGAAAAGCCATAAGCGGAACTTGGAAGCCACGGACCAGTAGGGATCAAGTATCTAGCTAAGTAGCTATACAAAGTTCCTATTCGCTTGAACTTATCGGTTTTGGCTTATCAAACGTAGTCTGATAAACTTCTCTCTCACAACAAAAACAACTTCAATTTGGCTTATCACCACAAAATCCATTAGTCAAATAGCTTTACTAGTGTTGTTTGTTCTTTCGAATCAAATCGTCACGCGCAGTGGCAACCGTAAAACACGAAACGACCGTGCTAGGTCGTTCCTCTCGTCCTTGTCCTGTAAGTATCTTTCTTTCTTTCTTTCTTTTTAAAAAAAAAGACCTTTCGAATCCTAGCTTCGTGTAGTCCCTAGCATGTTAAATTTTGACCACAAGTCATCCCACAACGTTGTTTAGATGCTGAAGGCGCCCCTCCCCCCCTCTCTCTCGCAAATCATATACTCTCTGCCGCGTCTTTTGAATTTAGAACAAGTGGCCTCCCACGCAAGTCTAAAAGCTTACCCAGATACTGTACATATATGATTTTTGGAAAGAAAGAAAAAAAGGGAGCCTGCGTCCCCGTCCCCGTCCCCTGCGGAATCTCGGACAGGGACGTGAGGTAGCCGTACCGGAAACCGAGTAACGAAAGCGAGAGTGCGAGTCCACAAGCACACAATGCCCGAGCCGAGCCCGTAGCGACAGGGGCAACACGGGGTCCGAATTCCGAACGCAAGTGCAGGTGTGGTTTTGCCGCGGCCGAGTCAAATAAAGCCAGTCAACCCGACGAGCACCCGCCGAGCCAAACGACTCTCCTTAAAACTGCAGCCCACGCCACAGCAGCAGGGCCGCATCACTCCGATCCGGTCCCAACACCAAAGTTTTAAATAGCCGGCTATAGCTATTGAGCAAGACTAAAACTAAGATATATCACTTTTAGCGTTAAGAAAAGCAAGAGGCTAATAACCAGAGATAGCTGGAGATTGCCGCTAAATGAACCATAATTTAGCTGCAGCTAAACTGCTGTTGGGCCAGCAAATCGACCACGCGGCCCAGTAAAGCCTCCCTCACCCAATCCATTCGTCCATCGCAGCCCTATTGGCACTCAGGCTGTCACGCACGAGCGGCTGCGGCCTGCGGCTAGAGCAGAGTAGCAGACTAGATCAACTAAGTAAATTTCTTCTTTACTAAGCTGCTCATTTGAAATTAGTTTTACTGATTGTTCACATTATAATTTAAAGATCAGTTGTACATCGTAGGATCTATGCTTGATTGCTTGTTCAAGCAAATAATTAAATATTTGTGATATGGTTCTGTGTATTTTTTTTTCAATTTTTTTTGTAAAAACAGCTAAATGTCTTAGCAGCAGCTATAGCCCGCTATAGTTACCCTTAGCTGTTGGTGAGGACAGCAGCTAAGAGGCTTAGCCGGCTATTTAAAACCTTAGCCAACACGGGGCCATGAAGCTCTTCATGTGCTTCGGCGGCGCGGCGCCCGTGGCCGACGACTAAGCGGCTGCGGAGCAGGCGTCTCGCCGCCGGGGCAAGCGTGGCGGCCGGAGGAGGCTGCCGTCGTTCCGGTGGAAGTGCTTCTTTCCCGGGAAGCTGTTTGGCAAGAAGAAGGGGCCGTCGTCGCCACCACCGCCGGAGCCGCCGGCGGCGGCCGAGGCCAAGACGAAGCGGGGGACGATGGACATGGACGACTCGGGCGGCGGCGTGTTCACGGCGTCGTCGTCGTCCTCGTCGCGGCTGACCTCCGCGTCGTCCTTGTATTCGTACTCGTACTCTTCCTCCCCCTCCACGCCCGCTCGCTCCTCCGCCGTCTCGTGCTCGCTGTCGCTGACGGCCTCGGGGGCGCTATCTCCGGCGCCGCCGCCGGTGAGGCAGCACGCGAAGGGGTCGTCGTCGACGACGTCACCGGCGGCCGGTGCGGCGGCCGTGGTGGTGCTGTGCCTTCTCTTGGTGGTGTTGTGCGGCCGGGTCGGGGCCACGCTGTTCACGCCCACGTCGCTCTACCTCTTCCCGCGGCGGTGCCCGGCGAAAGCTCATAGGGACGACAACCTGGACTCTCGCTCGAGTGCGACGCAGAGGAGGAGACGGCCATGAGGAAACCGCAACCGCAACTGATCGCCTTCGTTTTGTTTTTCTTCCCATCCTTTTTTTCGTTCGGAGGATGATGGAGGGAAGTTTGCACTACTTGATTTTTTTTGTCGACAAGAGTTATGTAATTATTATATATTTCGCGGAACGTACATAGTGTAATTAAAATGATATAAAAAGAGAGATGACAAGATACATAGTTTTGTAGCATGCTAGCTATTTTGTTTACTTATAAAACAAATCGTAGAGTTCGATCAGTGTAAACAAATTTAAGCAAAGATGCTACTACTAGTTTGTGCTGACATTTTTTGCAAGGTGGTCAAAGGCTAAAGCCATGTGTGTTGTAAATTGAACGTGTAACTTTATTTCCACCTAATTGCGATAGAATGTGTTTGAGGAAAGACAAGGTTGAACAGTGATGGCCCTAACAAATTCCAAAATGTTTACGTGTTGCATCCACGCGAATAGGTAGAGGAAATGGAAACTTGGCGACCTTTGCCAATACGAAAGTATACCTGCACTCTATAACCATAACTTTGCACTCTATGACCATTACTTTTGACAAACTCTGGAATGATTGACACTTTGCGCTCCTGTTTCTTATGCGTCTTTCTTTTACATGTGCGCTAATTATAATAAAATACTCTTTCCTTTGCAAAAAATAAAATAAAATACTCTTATACTTCATAAATATCAGATCGCCAATATTTATAGGGAGAAAAAGGTTATCACGTGACCTCTCCTTTGCATCTAGTGGCATCGCCCCTTCTCTTCCGTCACCCTCCCTCCCACACCCCATCGACCACCATCAGCTTGCCACAGTGCCTGTCGTGGTAGCAGTTCCTCTCAACCTCGGTGCCATGAGGATGAAGTCTCTCCCAACTCCACCCGTTGCCACACCCTCGACACTAATTAGGGTGGTGAAGCCATAACTCATAATAACCATAATCGGGTGACATATCTCATCTGGTAATGACACAGTGGGATCATGCAATATGACACGACGAATCACCCAATGGTGTTCCTTCTTATAAGCCCATCATGTAGATTGTAGACCGGATAATAACACTTGTGCATGCTAATTAGAACGAACGAATTATTGAAATATGTTAAGTTGGTGTTGTTATTAAGAATGTAGGTAGAATTTAATTATAAAGCCATTTGTAAGTGTAGCATTACTCAACTAAGTGAGTTTTCTTCCTACATTTTGAATTTTGGAAGTATGTTATGTGCTACAGAAAGAACTTTTTAAGCTCGTTGTCATATCTCCAATAGAATAAGTCCGGGAAGCACTAAAAGAGTACACTTTTAGATCTATAGCCAAAGGAAAAAAATTGTTTTAAATTTGACTAAATTTATTTAAAAATGATATCAACATTTAGTATTCTAAATAAACATACTATAAAAATACATTTCATGATGAATCTAATGATATTTATTCGATATCATAAATATTAGTCTTTTTTTGTAAAATTTGGTTAAATTGAAGATAGTTTAACTTAGAACTCTAGCTGGAATTGTGTATTCTTTTAAGACAGAGGGAGTAGTTAGCACTTGTTGTCTGGCCATTATTATTGCTGTATGATAAAGTATATTGCGCTCAGGGAAAGTAGTAAAACGACAGGCCGATAAAAGCACTGCTCATTATCTCAATCTCAGGCTTTTATGTAAATTAATGGGGCGTCCACTGTCCTAATGTGATGTAAACAGCCTCATGGAGACATGATTTGGCTTAGCTTCATCCTTCAGGTGTGCATTGATCCTATCTGCATGCAACACGTCTGCAGAAGAGGTTCTTGACAGTCCTACACGTACCTAGCCGCCTAGCCCAAAGAAAGTGCAGTACTACAAGCCTAGCTACAGAGGCCGTCGTTCCTACTGGCAGCCTGGCATGCCACGAATCTGTGGGGATTCAGAGAGACAGTGAGCATCGCTATCCAGCACTTGTAAAGAAAAGGCGCTTTAGATGAAGCTCGGGTAATGATGCCAAGAGGCAAGAGGCCTAACCATGCATAGCTTCGGTACTAAGAAATGGAGCTGCTGGGGCCCATCTTGACACACTATAATTAAAAGCATTATATAAGAGCAAGTATAATAAGGGGCTGCAAGCAGACTAAATGGTGAGGTGGAGGAGGAAGGAAAGGAGAAAGAGGAGGAGTGGGCTGTAAGCTTAGAGCAAGTATAACAAGAGGCTACATGTAGACTAAATGCTGAGGTGGAGGAGAGAGAAAAGGAGAGAGATAAGAAGCGGGCTGTGAGCTTACAGTTGATTTGGACACAAGAACCAAGAAACTCTATGACAGAGACAAGTGGGCCACGTACTAATAGTGAAGATGTAACTATTATATGGGTGGACTGAGAGATAGGCTGCAAGGATTCATACAGCCAGCAGCCGGCTATATTATTAGCCTTGCTCTTACAGCCGGCTTGGACACAGGAACCAAAAAAACTCTGTGAGAGAGATAAGTGGACCATGTATTAATAGTGAAGATGTAACTACAATATGGGTGGGCTGAGAGATAGGCTGCAATGATTCGTACAGCCAGCAGCCGGCTGTATGATTAGCCTTGCTCTTACAGCCGGTTTGGACACAGGAACCAAGAAACTCTGTGAGAGAGACAAGTGGGCCATATATTAATAGCGAAAATGTAACTACGATATGAGTGGGCTGAGAGGTAGACTGTAAGAATTCATACAGTCATCAACCGGCTGTATTATTAACCTTGCTCTAAGAAAAAAAAACGTGTTAAAGCCCTGGGCATTATCTCCTCTAGGGAGTACTAAGCTATATTGAAAAAGATGCCTCACATTTTGGCCCCGTTCGTTTGTAGGAATTTGAGAAATCTGGAGAAATTTGTGAGAGAAAATCAGTCATAAATAGTAACTTTCCGCTATGAACAGTACAATTTTTGCACCATCCGAACGGGTCTTTCTAGGTTTCTAAGCTAGCTTTAATGTAGCTATTCGTCCGTCCCGTGGTCTACCGTATATGATTGATTACATAATTTATGTATAAAAAATATTCTAAAAATAATAATTTATACATAGCATCGTTCATGAACTTATTATTGTTATTATTTTCCTGACACAACCGTTTCTCATTACGCATTTTTGATCAAGAAGAGAGAAGCATAGAGTACGACTACTCGACGGACCGAGCGGCAGCCGGGAACAAATTAAATCAGGAAGTTAAAGAAAAAAGATGGTCTTTTTTGTCCAATCGAAAGATCAGAGTTTGGTCCTAAAACTCTATTTATATATGGTTGTTACTATTGTTGTGGGCTTCTGAGTGCATCATGCACGACGCGCTAAACACGATCCACGTAGCTTATAGAAATAGAAAAACACACGGACGCGGCTTTAATTCACGAGCGTCAATACTAATAATCGAGTTTCAAAAAAAAAAATACTACTCATGGGGTGATCCTTGCCTTGTGTATGATTGGGTCGTCGTTGCTCGATCGTTTTTCCTAGCTAACCTAATACTAATAACCTGTGCAGGTAGAGTAAAGCGGCTGCATGCATGATGCACGTCGCTAATCACAATAATTGGGCGCCATGACCATGAGGTCTCAAAGCCGCCTCTCTATACATGCAAAGCGAGCTGGTGTAATTACGTAGAGATTTCAAAGGCGTCGGAATCTTAGACGAAACATAAAAGCCATGGACGGGAACTTGGAACGCACAGACTCAGATCTCTGTATGAGTTCTTCTGAATATAATAGTCGTGGAGTCGTCGTAACCGTCAAACACGAAACTGCTACACGACCGTTCCGATCCATTCCATACCCGTGCAAATCTTGAGGTACAATTCGACCTCATAATCTTCACCTCAAGGTTTTCTCAAAGAAAAGATGCATTTATATATTGTCATTATCGCGGTGCGTGCCGGATACGTTGCGCGGCAGCGGAAGCTGCTTTATTAGAATTGAAGAAGTAAACGAAGTCTGAAAAGCTGGGACTTCAGATGCTGTATGCTGCTTTTGAATTATTATTAGAGTTGAGAGTAGTGAGCCTGTCACTGTCCCCAAAGGGCAAAGGCCCAGACCCAGTGGATTCGACCACGTGATATTGTATTACTGACAAGACCTCAGTCGCGACTCGCGAGCTAAAACGAAACCGAGTAGCGGAGCGAAGCGAATAAGCGATCATGGGTGCAGTTTGACCGGCCGGGTTAATTGTATTGCTTTTTGTAATATAATTCTCGTTCAAGAAACGACTTAAATATTAATCAATCTATATAAATATTGATAAGATCCGAATAAGTATTATTAGACTAATTATGAAATATATTTTCACAGTAACTTTATTTGAAGATATAAATATAATAATTATTTTTGATAAATTTAGTTAAATTTAATAAATTGATTTTTTTTAGGACAGATGGTAGCTCATATAGACTTCGATTACCTCTGTTGCTCTACAACCTGCTGCAGGCTCTCACTCACATGACACATTCGGTAGAGCTTTGGTGGCTTCGTGTCTTCCGCTCTGACTTCAGCCATAATGTAAGAACGAAACGTTTTATCTTCTTTTTTCTTAGAATGAACTATGAGCTCCACTAGCTGGTAGCGCCAGTTTTTCCCCCTTCGTGCACCGTAGCAAAGAGCCAGATGAAACCATACTAAACCGTCCAAGACTTTTACTCCCTCCGGTGTAACAAAAAAAGTTTTTCAGATGGTTATCATTTGGCAGTACTTAAGTGCAGTTGGCAAATACTCTCCTTCTCAAATAATTGTACATATCTCTTTTCGAAGAGTTAAATATTTTAAAATAATATATGTAAAAATACTAATATTTACGATACATACTAAGAGTCATTAGACTAATATTCGAATATATTTTTACAATAAATATATTTAGAAATACAAATGCTGATAATATTTTTCACGTTTCCTCAGCTTCAGTCGCCTGAGCTCTCAGGCGACGTGTAGAGAGCACCGTCTGCTGCTTTGCTGCCTGAGCTGATGGAAGGAGGCACAAAGCGGATGACCACGGCTCACCACATGTCGCCTGATTTTTTTTTTTTGGAAAAAAAGAGGCGCATGTGCAATAGCAACTCCCAATATTTTTATAAATCTAGTCAAATTTGACAAAATCAACTCCTCGAAAAATAGAGATCAGCTGCTATTTTGTGATCGTGTACAAGACCGGAGTCAAAGTCAGTCAGTTACCGTGTGGGCCCCCTCTCGGCATCAAACACAAACAGTGTCCACACACCAAAACACACGCTGACGCGCGCCTATATATCCAGCGGCGCGCGGCTTTCGCTCCGATCTGAAGCAGACACGGCCGGGCGGACGCTCGAGTCTCGACACGCCGCGACCGCGATCCTGCTATATATCCGTCGATCCATATCATCCACCCACTGCACACGAGCGGAAACCCCTGCAGCGAGTTACTACACCAAGCCGACCGATCGAGACCTTCCGATCCATTCGTCTCCTCTCCCGTGAGCGCGCTATGAAGCTCTTCATGTGCTTCGGCGGTGCGGCGGCAGCAGCGGCCGTGATCGACGACGAAGCGGCCGAGGTGGCATCCAGACACCTGCAGGGCCAGCGTCGTGGCCGCCAGAGCCTGTCGTTCCGGAGGAAGTTCCTGCCCGGTTACAAGGGCGGCAACGAGAAGAAACCGTCGGCGGCGCAACCGCTGGCCGAGTCAAAGAAGCGGGGGATGGACGCAGACGCCGACGTCGTCTACGGCGTGTCCAGGGCGTCGTCGGTGGCGTCCTCGGCGCTGCTGAGCTCCGCGTCGTCGCTGGACTCGGACACATCATCGGCATCGTCGGCGTCGTCTCGCTCCTCCACCGCCTCGTCCTCGCCGTCGGTCTCGGGGGTGCTTTATCCGCCGCCGGTCAAGCGGCAGGCGGATAGTAATAAGATGCCCGCGTCGTCGTCCCCGGCGGCGGGCGCGGCGGCCGTGGTGCTGTGCCTCCTCATGGTGGTGTTCTGCGGACGGGTCGGGGCCACGCTGCTCACGTCCACGGCGCTCTACCTCTTCCCCCGGCGGTGGCCCGCCAGGACGACGCGTAAGGAGAAGAGGGGCGCCGTCGACTCGCTGGAGTGTGACGCCGCCGCTTCGGCAAGCGAGGACGAGGAAGTGGAGACGGCGAAGAGGAAGGTGGTTATGGAGGGGTCCTTGGTGAGGAACCGCAACAAGTGAAGTGACGATGGTACCGTCGTTTCGTTTTTTGTTTGAGGAATCGCTAATCCTTTTTGTTTGGATTAGAAGGAATAGTTTTGCAGTACTCAGTAATTATTTTTTGCCCAAGGGTTTATGTAATTGTAAATCAGTCACAAATGTGACCAAACTTATTGTACACAAAGATGCTAAGATAGTATGTATAGTATAGTATCTTGTTGTCTATGGAACAACTGAATGATCAAAGGGCAATTATCGCTTGATTTTCTAACCCTTAGATTTGTAATGAAGGACTCAGATCAAATCTCTGTCTTATCTTATTTTTCCTTTTTTTCCTCTATCCGCACCTACCCAACCCCCCTATCGTCGTACCATGCACCCTTGCCACCCTGCCTCCTCAGCACCGCCGCCTACGACCGCTCTCACGTTAATCCGGCTCTATTGGAGTTTCATGGTGACGCCTCTGCCCAACCGCCACCCTCCTCCACCCGGTTGGCGGTGCCACCCGCCTCGCCTTCGACCCTGCGCCTGCCGCCAGCACTGGGTCGGTGACCTTCTCGGTATGGTGATGCCTCTAAACCCAACCTAACGGACTCAACTAAGACCTCCTAACCCCACACCTTAATCTTGTCGGCGTGAGGGGATTGAGCAGAAAATTTCTGAGTGTTAGATTGCTCCAAAATAACCAAGTATCAGTTAGTAGTTTTCTTTGTTTATATAATTATAGAGATGCAAAGATAGTTTATAATAACATGATATTTGTGCTAATGCCAAACAAAGTTGAAAAAGTAAAAGTCACGTGTTAACTTTATTTACTGCCATCCGATTACTGCAATGAAACTTGGCTTTCAGAAAAGAAAGTAAGCTTCAAAAGGCTAAGCGATTATAATATGTAACATCAAAATTGCGGGCGCCAACAAATCCCATGATGCATAATTACGTACTCGAGTATACGTGTAGCATCCAGCCACCCAGCATGAAAAGCTAGTGGCGGCAATGAAACTTTGGTGAGCTTTGCACAATATGAAAGTATATCTGCCCTTGAGAACGAGCTACTTTCGGGGAACTCATGAATGGTTATTGGTGCTTTGCACTCCTATATATTCCTATTGCGTGGTCTCTGCTTTATATACTTCACATGGAAATGTTGAGTGAAAGTATATGTGATGTTGAACGAAGGAAATCGCCCTGAAATTGGGTTGAAAGTCCATCGACCACACTCAATATAAACCAGATAAAAAAACCGGAACACCAAAACTTTCTAATCTCACAATAACCTACGTACCAATCTATTTTCTACGACGTTAAGTGTACATATAAATGTAACATTTGTGATTATTTTGCATTGCCATTTTTCCACATACCGAGACATGGTACACATACATGGTTCTGGCTAGTTGTGTCACATAGTAGGGACCATTTTTTGCTTTAAGATCCTCTAAATAGATATCAGTCCCAGGCGTCTACAATCAGACGCTAGGAGAGCTCACGCACTACTGCAGACGGGCTCTTTGCCGAGTGTTTAGGGCACTCGGCAAAGCCCCTATTGCACTCGGCAAAGGCTTTGCCGAATGCCTCACTCGGCAAGGAGCAGTCGGCAAAGAACCCGTCGGCAAAGGTTTCTTTGCCGAGTGCCACATATCGGGCACTCGGTAAAGCCTCTGCCGAGTGTCACGTCAGCACTCGGCAAAAAAAATCCGACGTCAACTCTGACGGCCTCTTTGCCGAGTGCCACCTCAACGGCACTTGGCAAAGAAATTTTTCTTTTTTTTTGAAAATTCTTTGCCGAGTGCCATACTCTTGCACTCGGCAAAGAAATTTTTTCTTTTTAAAAAAAAAATCTTTGCGAGTGCCACGGCTCTGGCACTCGGCAAAGCTGGGAAATTGGGTCTCTGCTTCCCAGCTTTGCCGAATGCCATGGTCACGGCACTCGGCAAAGCCCTCTTTGCCGAGTGTGGCACTCGGCAAAGAGGGAAAAATGCTATTTTTTGGTTTTTTGCTTTCCATCAGCACAAACAAAGAAATCACATATATATCAACCCACAACACAGGATATATCACATACACATCCATATTCCATCACATACGCATCCATAACCCATCACATACACTTCCACCATCCATAAATACATCACATACAAATCCATTGTCCATAATCCATCACATACATTCGCATCATCCATGACAATATCCATCATAATATATATATATATATATATATATATATAGTAGTCCAACATAAGGCTAAGTCTAACACAAGTCCATGCAACATGAAAAGAAATAAATAAACGGTATTTCCTCGCCAGCCTCCCCGAGTGTGAAGCGCCACCTTGAGGAGGGCAGGTTGGCCACACCGGCCTGTGGGAGAAGGGCCACCTTGAGGAGTCGGGTTCGAACCCGCCATGTGTGGCTGCACAAAGGAGAAACGAATTCATGAGTATCTGGGGAGGGCCGCACAAACTAAAGGAATAAACAACCATATATACTCACCGGAGTCCCTACAGGAGGAGGAGGAGCCACTGGCTGGAGCGAGCAAATGATCGGGCACGACACACACAGCAAGGCTCAAGGCTCGCCATGAAGCTGAACATGTCCTGTAGCCTCTGCGCCTCGGCCGCCCTCTGGGCTTGTACAACCTCCATCTCCAGCCGATCGGCCTCCGCCTGGGCCGCCTACTGGGCCTCCAACCTCCGCAAGTCGGCCTGCAACATTCCACCCGCAATGTTTAAACAATGCAAAGGCAAGGTAGATGTGTAAAAGCAATGAACGATGAATAAAATAGTACTAACCTGGAGTTCCGCCATCTGCTGCTGTGAGCTCTGCTGCCGAGAGCATATGGGGAGGCAGGAGCCCGTGCTCCTTGCTAGAATCTTGGCGAGGATGGGAACAGAGGCGGAGTCGACTGTGCTGTCCGCCATCCAGTACCGGTCGTGCTGCTTCCCTCCTCCCAGCCTCATCAGGAGGTCTGTGTCCAGGGGCTGGGTGGCCGGATCAAAGTCCTCCCCATGGCGCTCGCGGGCCGCCGAGGTGTACTCACTAAGCTTGTTGTGGACGCTCGTGTTGGTGTATGCCTCGGGCCCGTCCGCCGGGTTGTAGGTGACTTCCGGGGCCGTCGCCTTGCCCTTGTGTGCTAGGGCGTACGCCATGAACTCGTTGCATTCCTGGCCTTGGTGCGCCTAGGACTACGAGGAAAACACAAAGATGATTACAAGTAATGAGAATTGAGCGTGATTACAAGTAATGAGAATTGAGCGTTAGAATAAATAAATAAATATGAAAACACAAAGAAGATTACCCATGTCTGGGCGTACGCGCTGAGGCTCTGGTTGCCTTGGTGGTGTGGTGCCCCACCCATCTGCAGGCGGCAGTCCCGACGGATGTTGTGCTTCTCTGCCCACTCCTCCGAGAGCCACCTGTCCACAATGGCCTCCCAGTAGAGGCGGTGCCTGGCGCACCAATCAGGACATTGCTGCATGCCATCAAGTTATTAATATGTCAGAAGATGAAATGAAGCCTACCTATTCTTCATAGAATGAGTCAGTATTAATGTTTCGTACTTACCGTGAGGTACTACTCCTTGGTGAGCATCCTAGTCCTGGCATCAACCTTCCTCACCACTTGACCAAGGATGTCAGCGCTGTAGTTGATGATGCACTAGAGCCATGTCTCGTGGTACATGTCCGAGAGTCGGGACCTACAGACCTTGTCCTGCACTCGCGCCGCCCGGTCCTCAAACCCTTCGTCGCACCTGAAGAAGTCCTACATACAGACATCATGTATCGTTTCATTATTTCAAGAACGACCAATGAATGCGTAATATTGACCAATTTAGTGCGATGAAGACTCACCCAGAACTTGGCCTTGATCCGCGCCGCAACGGTGCCGAACTTGCTGTCCTCGGCGGCGTAGAAGTGGTCCCACGTCCAGGGTGGCAAAGTCATCGAGGCGTAGGTGACCATGCCAGGGTAGTGCTGCCGAATCAGAAGGCCCAGGGTGCCATTGATGTGCCGGCCCGTTCCGGACACAACTTCGCAGTTGCTGCAAGAGTCATTAAGAAGAATTGTTAGTCTCCAGTTCGATTTTCAACATGTCATATGAAATAGTAGTGAAATAATACTTACTTGTCGCCGCTGGGTCGAATCACCGGGCACCGGTGAAGTGGGATCGGCCGCGCCGGGAGCTACGAGGGCCCGCGCAAGTAGACTCCCGACGAGGTAGAGCCAGAGGCAGTGCAAGTGGAACCCCCTGCTGTCGCTATCGCCGCCTCCCCGTGGTCCGACGAGTCAGAGGAAGTGCCACCCCCTCCTATGTGTAGGCCCACCGCCTGGTCGTCCTCGTCCACCGATGTGGTGGCAGCCGGCTACACCCTCGTCCTCGGATGGCCGCGGGGGCGGCCGCTCCTCGTCCTCCTCATCGGCGGCTCCGGCAAGGGGTCCTCCTCAGCGTGGGGTGGTGAGCGCTCCCTCATGTAGAGGGAGTTGACCCCCCGACGGTCCTGCCTTCCGCCCGACATTTTGTTGAGTGCCTACAATTTCAAAGAGTAAACCAATTAGCACATTTAAATTACAAGTACTTATAAAGAGATGCAAAATGAACGAAACATAATTGCAATAATAATAATAATAATAATATAGTATTACATAAATTAGAAATATTCTTCACGATCGGCAGCGGTTGGATCATAGGTGTCGTCATCACTATCAATATTGTCGAGTAAATCGGGCTCATCTCCATCGTTGTCATCATTGTCATCGCCTAACTGTAATCGCTCAAGCATTTGTAAGTCCTTAGCATTTTGCACCTCTTCTCCGTCGTCCTTATCTCCATCGTCCTGATCAATGTCATTGTCTACTTCCATGCCCATCAGCGAAAACATGTCTATGTCAAACCTCCCTTCTAGCCCCTCTGGTTGATAGAACTCCCGTGTGTTTGGGTCAAAGTTGTAATCCTCATCGTTTGGGATAGGCAGTTTACCGTGCGGCGATACCAACTGCACAAGGTACCAACCGATAAGATTGGGG